TTTTTCTTAGAAAAATTTACAAAATTTATCTGTAAATTCTTTGCAGAGCATATTTTGCAGTGTTTTGCAACAGTGTAGTTAGTTTGCGTATCATCAGGAGAAGAGTCATTAGAAGGGATTTAACTTTTTTTTAATTGATTACTCAAAAAGATTTCTGATCTATGCAAGGGTAAATATAGACATATTTGGACAAAGATGTCCTCAGATAGCATAAATAATAGAGACTAGAACATGATTTAGAGACCTAAAGAACTGGATAGTTTCAGGGTTTAAGAGCTTAATGTGGCTTACAGGGCAGCAGGCAGCATGCTCCTTGGCAACCTCCTATCAGAACAGATAACTGTGGTCACGTCTAATGTCTTAATTTCTCAAAATCACTGAAAGTCATTCCACAAAGACTTTATAAAGGATGAAAATGAAAAACTTGAGATTGGTTACAGAGTGTTGTTAACAAATACCAAGGTTGTGAGTTTGATGTTTGTATGGATCTTTCACTTAAGAATTAGACCTGATGATCCCTGTTGACCCTTTCCAACAAAGAATATTCTGTGATATAGACAGACTGACAGAGGTGAGGGAGAAGGAAATAGATGTATTGCCCTTTGGTGCTACAAGTATCAGGAACCATAATGACATTTTAGTTCAAGCAGCTAAACAAGAAAAATAAAGAATATATGTAGCTCCTAAGAGCCTTTCTCTGAATTACTGTTTCATTTTCTGATGAGAAAACCCTCTCAGACATCCTTGACACTCAAATAATTGTGAAAAGTAATTTCTGTGCTATTCCTATTAATCTGCAAGGTCTGTTTTATGGCACTCAAAAAAAAAAATTTGACTATTTTTGTTTTTCTCAGAGGCAAAACTCAGGTAAACTCCCTTATTTTTAATGGACAATTTAAGTGTCTCAGGGTCTTTCACTGACACTCAAATTCTTTCACTTTTTAGGTGTAAGACAAGAAAGTTCCATATTCCTTTTGTAAGTGAAAAAGGTTCTACAGTTTAATTCAGAATGGGGAAATAAAACCCTAAGGCACATCTTTCAAAAGCTGCCGTATACCATAGCGATCACAGAACATCACAATTTTTTAAAAATTCTGTTCCCTGCCTTTGTCTCTTACTAATAAATTAGACAACAATTAATGACAGTCAGGGATTCTAAAAAAATCTAAAAATGACAACCAGTTTCCACACACAGGTTTGAAGTTACACCATACTTCATGAAATAATTCTCTTCTAGCTCTCTTGAAGTAAATTTTTGCATGCAAACTTGAAGTGAAACCTGACTTGAATACTGAACAAATGTCTGCATTTCAATGATTAAACAACCCTCCCACCCCCAAACCAAAGAAGCAAATAAATATTCAAGGACTTCAATAATTCTTTTTGTTTCAAAATAAGGAAGTGTTCTCATTCTGTAGGCACACTATACCCCTAAAATCTTTGCTGTAGTATACAGTAACAAAACAAACAAGCAAAGAGACAAGCCAATAAAAAGAATCTTATCATTGATCCTAGCAACTAAAGAATTATGCTATCAGAACAGCATTTAGTTGGGGAACAATGTGACACAAGAGCAATAAAATTTACGGCAGTCACTCTGTAGCATCACCCTAAGTCCAGGTTCACTGGCTTTGTAATACTCTGACTGCTCCATCACCGTCGGCTGTGGTCGATCTGGACACAGCCCTTTCTTGGTCTTTCCACCACTGGACCAAAGCTGAAGCAAAAATTAAGAGTTTTCAGGACCTGACAATTTCCAAAACATCTTTTTGCTTACTGTTGAGGATTGTTTTGCTTCTCTGCTGTTGGTAGCTGGGTGGCATCGGAGGAGCAGCTCGGGCTGTTTCTGTGGTGCTGCACATTCGATGAGCGAGACATCTGAGACTGCTGCGGGAAACCCGTTCTGGCTGTGCGAGCGGGGCCTGCGGCGAGCTAAGCGGGAACACATCGGGTCATCGGGGCCGCAGCTTCGGTGTCAGCAAGGACAGCTCTGCCGTGGGGAAGTGGCAGCCAGATAAGCTCATAAATGGTCACTTTAGGAAGTTTCCTTAAAATTTCTGCTCTCACTGAAGTCAAGTATAAAATTTGTGTTCTTTTGTATATAGAATCAGGGTAAAACAGGACTGGTTAAAAAAAAAAAAAGAAGTACCCCGCCTTAAATTTGTGACATTCCAAGTGGCCCCTCACTCGCGCCCAAGGGCCACTGACCTCCCATAGAAAAAGGGTGGCGCCCACGAAAGGGATGGAGCGACGCGGAGAGGCAGTGGAAGGGCTTCCGCTTCCGGCGGCCGCACTGACGGCGGCGGGGCCCGGCCGCGCTGNTGGAGCAAGCTGCAGGCCCATGGCCTCTCAGTCCTGCCTGAGAAGCTAGCCTGGGAAATTCATAGGAGGATTTCAAAACAATCCTCAGAGACAGAAAACAATTGCCAGGTGCTGTTTGTCTGTCCTCTTGTTTTCCCTTGCAGGAGAGAGTCAGAGGGTGTTGTGCCCCACTGACCAATGATGGTGATGTAGCACTTTGCTAACCAGTAAGAGCTTCCTTTCTGTACTTTCCACGGATCTGTCTATAAGACAAGCCTAGAGCAATAAAGTAGGGAATTCTCCTGTTGTGACTCCCATGAGAGTCCGTGTCGTTCTTTTCCGCCGTTCCTAATTAGAACGACAGCAGACAAATTTTTTTGTTTGTGTGGTACACAGGTAAAAAAGAAAGAATCTGCAGTACAGCTTGTAGGTTCAGATCCAAAATCTAACATATGATCAAGTGTTTTGGAATGAAGGTCAAACATAATATACTCTCATTATTAGTTATATGCTTTACTTCACAAGAGTTTCAGGTTTTGTCAGGGTATTTTTGTATTTCACTTTTATATTTTTATAAATACAAAACATTATCAAAACAAGTAGGTAAGACAGGAATATTTGTCCTTTGGACATTTTTCATCAGCTTTAATTTTCTTTCTGATTCATGTGTTCAGATGCCTGTACAACCTCACCTTACTAGGTATTTTTGTTCTCTGAAATGAACATTGCTGACTACATAAGTGATATGCAGATTGAAAACTCTTTATGCATTAAAATGCATTTATGCTTTGATCACCAACTCTGTCATTTCCACAGGCAGATACCTGTGATGTCAAAAGTAATGACAAGACTTATTGGCAATGTCTGCAGCTAGTTTAGAGTCTAAGACAAGTAGACAGATTTTTGTAAATTGATGCAACCAGTTTGGCAAAGGTAAATCATATTTTTTCTGAATTATCTTTGTTTTACTAGGCAATACTCCATTTACTGATTTTTTCATGATGAAAAAATAATGTGTTTTATTTTTTTATAATTACCCAAATCTTTTTTTCCTAATTGAATTTGTAAAGCAGCTGCTTTGTCTGCTTTATACATGTGCATCCATTCAATGGCCTTTCATGTTTTCTCAAGGTTTGAGCAATTTTTTATATTTGCTCCTTGTTGTCCTCAGCTTGGCCTACTTTAAACTGGACTCCTAAGGAATAAAATACTGCATAAGCAACCTTTTTCAGTATTCAGATCCTTACTTCATGTCCCCTTTAGAACTTCATTTTATATTTTTCTTCATCAGGAAATAGTAATAGATTCTGTAAATCTCTTTTTACTATGTCTTCTATTTATTGCACATATCTTACAGAGCTGCATGTCATACTTCAGTTACTTTGGAGAGCATGTTTAATAATCTGCTATAAGTTAGAACAAACATTGGTCTAAGAGCCTTTGCTCTTCAACAGTGGGATTAGTAATACTAGTAAGGCAGAAGATGTTTTTAAGCACATATTCAAAATTTGACGGCTGTGATAAATATTATGTTTTGAGCATTTGAGTCCTGCATAAGCAGGACTAGTATTTATCAACAATTCACACTCAGAAAATCTTCAATTTAATGAGAAATCACATATAGTAAGT